AAAAAAAAGTATAGCAGGATATGGGAGGCGTCTAGAACACATTTTGTTTAAACTCAAGTCCTCCTTGTGAGGCTGTAGTGGAATGGCAGAGAAGGCAGAGGAAGAGTGGGAATACCAGTTTATACTCTCTGCATGCCAAGCTACAAAAGTCCACTAAGTTTACTGTCAGTTTTATCATCAGCCAAAACGGCTCATTTCACACTAGGCTGCTGATTCTTATTTTCATTCTGTTAAAGTACTTCTGTGCCTGCTGAAGGAGAGCAGAATCTGACCCCAACCTGCAATTTATGTTAACTGTTTCTTGGTAAGCTTCATTTTTACTTCCTTGAGAAGTACTGGCCGAGACCCACAGTTGACTGGTTTTCCGGTGAGGCTGCTTTCCTTGAGACTGCCTGACAGGGAACAATAACATCAGCTTGAGATGGCCAAACTACAGGACACATCAAAGTCTGATGGGGGGCTTCTGGCTACCTGACAGCAGTGGCTCTTGTGTGAGAAGCATACAGAACACTGCAGGGCATTTCAGAGTCTCATTGAGCGTTCTAAGTCAGAAAGCGGCACCTTATTTTATTCTGTGTTGTGTTTGTGTTGAAAGGAGGTGGGGGAAACTGTATCTTAAGAGGCTCTTACAAATGCCAGTTGGTATTGATTTCTCTTGCAGAGTGCTTATGTATCACTGTATTGCACAGTAAAAACTGCAGACACTGAAGCAAAGGCAGATTTCTGCCAAGAGACTGTGTCTGCATGTGACTTTGAATGGAGCTCTTTCTCTGCTCTCCACTGACATGTTTATTGCATTCACTATAGATTATCCACTGCAGAAAGGAAACGTGTAAAATAATGCTATTAATTATTGCAGAATCAAAAATTATAATTCGTAAATTTCCTGTCACACATTTCTTTTTCATGCTTTACTGTGTATCTGTTAAAATCAAATATATACGCATTAAAAACTGCTTGAGGTACAAAAGAAGTAGGTTAAAATGCTTACATTTTTAACAAAGAGAAGACGTTCCTTAGCATTAAACATTTATTTCTAGAATAAGTAATCTTTGAATTTATATATATTTTTTAATTGTTGTTGACACTTCTTGCATGCTGCTTTAACATAACACTCGGGAGCAAACATTGACTGTTGAAATACAGTATTTTCATGCTTAAATGTCGTCTTCCTGAACAGCTGAAATTAAGTGTTATAAGCTGACTGGTACATTGATTAGTTCTGCACTTTAAAACACATTCATTTTAAGAAAGGCCTGGTTATTTTATTTTCCTGTTTCAGGGGAACACTGTGATGCTTTTCAAAATTCTTAATTACTATAATGCAAGCAGAGATAACAGATGAATAATGAGTCAGAACACTGATTTTAAAGAAAGCAGATGCATATGCTTTGTCTAATAACTATTCAATACCCACAAAAATAAATGAAATTTTATATGTGTGAAACTATTTACTGAAGTTATCACTGAGTGAAAGTTTCTTTCCACGTAAACTGTTCAGACCATGGAAGACACTGTAGATTTTACTCTAAGCTCAGCATTTTCAAATGAACATTTTAATTTCAGTTAAACAGTTAAAAAAGAGGCTTTTACAGCTTTACCTGAAGAGTGTCTTGAGTCCTCAGTGTTTTTGAATACTACATGTGACCTGAGGGAAGACTTAACTAATTTTGATGCCAGGAATCCGTGTGAACTGAATAACTAAAGCTTTGGCAGCTGTACAAACTGAAGGAGAGGTTCTGCCCAGCCTCTTCACCTTACTGCTGCTAACAGAAACCAGCTGCCTTTGGGAGCTGCTTATTAGTGATTTGGCCCTGCTGGGCAGCATCATCATTTTTTTAAGAACTAGTGGTAATATTGATAACATATTCTCTTGATGTTGTTTCTCTTGATATTAAATCATGAAGCGTTTTGATTGCAAGCACTGCAGTTGTTTCATTTAGCAAACAAGAAAGCTTGTCACACATAGGAATACACTAACACTGGCCCATTCTCAGATCCATTGCCAGCTCTGTCCCTATGACTGTCTTGGCAGGACCTTGGCAAATAAAGGACTGACCTTCACTTTCTGAGTTTGGAGGCGAGTTCCAAGTCAAGTAAAACTGAGTAGCAAAGTGTTGTCTCATGTCTCGTGTCACCTCCAGGAGAAAAATACAAGAAGCCACAGTGGAAAATCAGATGTGATGGGTTGGCAGGAATCACACCAAAAGGATTAAGAGAGCTAGATTTTGAAGCATAGATGGCTTGACCAGAGAATCTGTCCAGCCTGTGGAGACAGCTGAAGTACATACACACCAGAGCTTGGGCTGGCTTTAAAGGAGGAGGAGAGCAAAGCTCGTTGGTGAGTTTTGAAAAGTGCAGCAAAAGATGTGCTCAGTGGTCTTAGTGCTTTGAACTCAGCTGATGTTAGCTCTGTGCTGGTTTGAAATGGTGGACCATTCAGTTGGTGTCACCGAATTGTCCTAATCCTTATGTCAGCACATCTGCCATAAATCCACGGTGATTGTGCCTGCATCCCTGGAAAGAGCTGGCAAGTGTCTCCCACACACCTGAAAGGGTAAAACTAGAACAGCAAGGTGCTGCTACAATTTCTGTTTTTTTTAGGGACAGCAAAAAGAAAGTTGCCTAGTGTTGATGGCGATACTTGCTCGGGGGTGGGGCAGGTTATGCTCCAGGATGGGTTTGCCTGGGGGGCTTGGGGGTGTCCGTGCTGCACTGCAGTGCTGGTGGGAGCAGCAGCACAGCTGTGGCCTTGCAGAAAATGACCTGTTTTACACATGATGTTGTTATGACCCATACCTTTAAACAAACATTGCAGTTAGAGCCCAGGAGAGTGGATTCACTTGGTATCGTTGCCAAAATGCTGAGATTTGTAATGTTCAGGGATGCGTATAAACTGTCAGCGGGACAGTGAGTGATAGATAAAAATATGTGTTACTCTAAGCTTTGTGAATGTTTAAATTATCTTAGCATCACTTACAAACTCAGAGGTGAAACAACAAGAGCAAACTGGCACAGTATTTCCTTGATGAATTATAATTGCTGTAATTAATCTGTGTCCATCGTTCTGAAGCAGTGTCATGATTCCTCAGCAGTTTGTGTCACAGAAGGAAACTGAAGCCACAGTTCAGAATGCCTTGTCCTTTCACCCTCAGCCTGTGTTTTCTGTAGAAGCAAGTAATTGTTAAGATCTGTTCCAGGCACCAAAGTGATGCACCAGCTTTGGTCATACTAGATTTTTACTTAATCTTTGTGGTTTGTTGGTTCTTAAAAGTCGCTGTGACACAGCAACTCATAGCGCTTAAATAGCTCTGTTGTTAAAGGTGGTTCCCTGTAGTTTTACAGTCTGCTGCTTTTTATGCCAACATGAAAACCCAGGGGTGATATAGTAAGTAACTGATCTTTGTATCTTGGTAAGGAATATAAAAGATCTGTACGCTGTCTCAGGTTGAGTTGTTAATGTCCCCTGACTGCAGTTACTGCTGTTGTAATTTGAGGACAGGCTGGAAAGTAATCAACCATAATACATTCCAGTCAACTCTTATTCCTAAATGGGGAAGTGATGGATCAGTGAGGACCTGGTTTGATAATGATAATTTTTTTATTAATGTAAAAGAGAAATCTTCATTTTCAAAACCTATGAGATGGCAGTTATCTAGTTTTATATTGTACATCTTTCAGAGAATAACCAGCTGTCAGTCAGACT